ATTGACCCTTTAAAATGTAAATAAAAATGAAGTTTGTGATAATATGACATGTCATATTTATGGCCTGTCATATGTAAATTTTCTGTTCAAATTGGTCATAATAAAAATCATATCAGGCCATCATATGGCATGTCATATCAGAAACTTTATATAATTTGAATAGGCGCCTGGAGTTTTCATAAAAGTATAAAATAAAATTGACATATCAAAATCATCATTACAGGACTTTCCAATAAATAGTCAAAAAAAATTTAATCCCCGATATAATAATATAAAAATGTTTAAAAAAATAAACATGTACAAATTTAATAATGGAATAAAAATAATTTTGGAATTGAAATATTAACTTAAAAAATTTTCATAAAATGGAAGAAAGATGCTCTATAAATTTAGCATACACCAAATTAGCAATTATAATAAATGTGTAGACTTAGTTTGACTATTGTAGAAATTTTTCTAGGTGCGAAATAGAAGTATTTTTTTAAATTATCCAAGATATCGGGAATTTGAAAAACCTTGACCTTGATTATGATTGTGTAGTCCTAATGTTTTTATCCCCAAATTCTCGACCTCGAGTCAAGGAAAAATTAAGATCAAGGAACCCTGAAAAATGCTTCGGTGTTGACCCTACAGGAAAAGTCAAAGTCTGGATCCAGATCCAGGCCACCCTTACTTTCAAAGTAATTAGCTTCCTTTGTGATCTAAATTTATTAGAACCTCATTCCATTTTAACCATTTTTAAATTTAAATATTTTTACATGTGTACATATTTTACTCATTTCATCATCGCAATCAAAATTACTCTTTTCAATTTGTTTTCATCTGAATTTTTTAAATATTTATTGCTAATAATTAGATATTTCGTTTAAAAATTTAAAAAGACTATAAAATATTTATAAGGTTTAACAGAACATTACCGAAGAAACTTTTATTATAAATATACCTTAAATTCCTTTCTGTCCATCAAATTTAGTTGAAGATCCGCTAGCTTTATCCTGAACATTATTGCTGTATCCCTTTAAATTTGGGTAATCAAAAATATAATTACAAGATTACTTACACTCGTTCCATGTATTTCAAAACCATTTATTTGATTATCTAGTAACGTGTTGTGATAATCATGAACATGATTTTTGTTTTCGGGTTGTAGATGAATATTATGAAATTCATCATAAAGTTCCCCAAATACTCCTGTTGAATTATCACCAATTTCATTTTGTTCTCCAAACAAATATTGTAAATCAGGATGTGTATAATCATAACCATGATGTAAAATATCTGGGTGAAATTGATCATAAGGCATATGCGAATGATGCAGGTCTAGCTGATTTTGTTGCTGAACATATGCTCCATTTGAGGTTTCTCCAATTTGATGTTGAGAATGATCAAATTGATTTTGATAATGAAGACCACTTAAATTAGTTAGATGTTGATGTTTCTGAGGCAGTTGGTTTTGAATTTGTTGTTGCTGATAACCATTTATCTGATTATTATAGGGATTTACAAACTTGTTGTTATTTGGATGCATTTCAGATATTTGTTGACCTTCATTTATCGATAAATCCCCAAGATTTAATTCATTAAAGTAGTCCAAATCGAAATTATGAGGATAATCAACAAAATTATTTTCAAGATGTTCATGTTTAATCATTGGAAAATCTTGTAAAGTATGGTGATTTTGGTTTAATGAGTTTGAAATATCATTGGGAAAATTATGGTGAGCTGAAATAAAACTATCATGGCTATGATTAAGATGATCGTTTTGTTCTTGTTTAATTTTTTCTGAGTCTAATGCTGGATTGTTAGTTCCCAATTTCGGTATTCCAACTTGATGTTGGTTTTGAATGTAATTATTGTTTTGTTTTTTATTTCCTCTTTTAATAAAAGTATTGTGAAGATGAAGATTGTTGGAATTGTTTATTTTTCCAGATTTTATCGTTAAATCGCTACTTTCCAATATCGGTATTTCGACATAACTAAATTTAAAAATTATTATTATAATTACATATTTATATTTAATACTTTTGATCATCAATAGAATGTTCACTATGTTGCAATAAATGTTCTTTACCCAAATCATCCATGTTTGCATTATTGTTTACAAAAGGACCTTCAGGTAGGTTACCATGTTCCTGCTTAATGTCATATATTTCATCCGGGGAACCTGTCACTTTAATGTGAATGATAATTTTAATATTATATACATATTATGTAAAAGTATTTTTCTGCAAACCCAAATAAATCTATAAATTGTTTTAAGGGTATTATTAGGATTACACCCCGAAATTTCAAGTTATGCGATTTTCTAATTGTTTAAGGGCAAATCGAAAATAGTTTTTTAATTCTGAGAAATATATATATTTTACACTAGGTTATTTAGATGACGGTCCTGAAATACAAACTTTCCTTTATTAGGCTTTAAATGAAAAACTGAAAGGAACTATTGAAATAAAGGAATCTACGTACTGAAAAACCCAACAACCAAAAATTTTAATTTAATTTTACAACTTCTCTAATTTTTACCTTTATGGACCATTTCTTTGAAATTATTAATATCAGCATTAATGTATGTTACTTTCCTCGACTTGGTTCTCTGCCGATCTAAAAATAAATATTTCAAAATATAATTTAATAAATATGTATGATTGGATAACTTTAAAGTTATATGAATTATATTAATCTGCTGATTCAAAAGTGATAATATTACCTATACATTTTTAATTATTAAAATTTTATATTTAGATTGACTGCCTATTGTTATAATCTTCCAATTCTATATTTTTTGAGGAATTAATCGCTGAAATTCTGGAATATCCCTAACAAGTCGTTTAAAAAATCTAAGATTTTTGGATTGTAGTCCGTATGACTAGTCCTGCACTACCTTTAGTTTTAGGCGCTAATGGTGGCAAATGAAGATTCGGCCTGACACCATAAGATTTTTTGGATCCTTCTTCATGTATTTCTAACTTTTTCTTTCCTTTATTGTTAACAATTTCATTGTTTTCCTTTACACCAATTACAAAATATTTTATAATAATAATATTTAAAAGAATTAAACGAAAAAGCCAAATGATATCCATATTGGATTATAGTGGCTGTTTTTAAAATTATTTATTAAATTAATATTAAAGTTGATACATACATATATTATGTACATATATATTTTACTTAAAAGGAGGGAACAAAACTGATTATTAACAGGTACCCTATGTTCTCGATTCAGATTTAAAACTTATAATCAATTTTAAATTTTTTTGAAGGCCCCTCATAATCTTAACTTATAAAAAATAAAAAATTTAATAAATTTTTAAAGGAAAATTAAGGCAAAATTAAGGAGAAATTTTTAAAATCAAATGACAAGAGACTCAACAAAAAGGAAATTTAATTTTAAAAAATTTCATTGTCTAATAAAAAATTTTATAAGAGGGCAGGTGGAAGTGGAGAAAAATGTCATGAGGGTTGCCAAAAATTTTCAATGCCCTTTTAGCATTGAAAATCAATTAAAAATTTTAAGAAAAGAAAATTGAAGGAAGAATCTTTAATAAATATAATTTTTCCAACTTCTTCCAACAGAAGTGTGTGGTTATAAGTAGAGTTCAGCGGTATCGGGATTTAGAGAAAAACCCGGGATCGGGATTTAGGAATAGTCATCCCGATCCCGATCCCGGATCTCGACACGGGATCGTGATTAGCCGAAATCGGGATCGGGATTTGGACTGGAGATCCCGATCCCGGTCCCGATCCCGAATCGGGACCGGGATTGAAAAATCGGGATCGGGATTTACTAAAAATTTTTTTAAAAATTTTTATTTTCTTCACATACGACTCAGTATAAATCTAAAATTGCCGCTGCGGTGCTGAAATATAGAGTTTAAGTCTCATAAACACATAATTTACTTTCCGGTTGGGGATTATGGGGAGATAAGGGGATTAAGGGAGATAATTTAGGGGATTAGAGGAGATAAGGTAATGGGGGGGGGGGATAAATGGGATTGGGCTTCTATTTTAAGCGCCGTAGGCTAAAATTTTGAAAAATTTGGAAGGCCAAGGTGCCAGATTTCCTCCCTTTTAAGCGTCGCAGGCAACATTTTTTAATTTTGGAAGACCAAGGGCATTCAAGTCTAATTCAAGTCTAACGATTAAGTGCGTTACGCTAAAACGTGGATCGAGGGCCCTCGATTTCTCTTCAAATCTAACTCAATCCCCGTAAATCCACCGATACTCCTCTCAATCCCTCTTGATCCCTCGATATCACACCAAATCACTCAATATTTCATTAAAGTTGTAAAGACAGCTTTGTTCATTTTTGCGGCGCCGCAGACGAAAATTTTAAGATTTTGGATGTCAACATGCCAAATTTTTTTTATTTTCTGCGCCGCAGGCGAAAATTTTTCTTACTTTCATGCCTCCCCTCTTTTGTTAACTTTATTTCACAGACTTCTAGTCAATTTATACAGTCGGGATTTGCATCGGGATCTGATGCACATCCCGATCCCGATCCCGGATCCCGGCTCGGGATTGAGAATGACCGGGATCGGGATCGGGATATATATTTCGGGACCGGGATCAGAAAAATCGGGATCGGGATTCGAAAAACCCGGGATAATCCCGCCCGATCCCGACCGGGATCCCGATCCCGCTGAACTCTAGTTATAAGTAGGGTTGTTGGTATCAAACCGAACCGAAACGCCTTTTAATTTTATACTCGTAAATTTATATTTAAATATGTATTACCAAAACTAAAAAAGTGGAAAAAAATTTTTTTAATAAATGAGAGGGATGATAGAAAAAAAGAAATTTTTTTGCCTACTATCTTCCAAAATTTTCAAAATCTCATATTCTCTATAATAAGGCCATAAATAAAAATAATAAAGCCAGTTCTGGGTCCCAGATATCCCGGTATCCCTCAAAGTCCTCTTAATCCTCCAACACCTCTGTAACTCTTCTGGTATTCCCCGTAATCACAAAGTAGATACTTAAATCCCCTTAATTCCTCCAAATCTCCCTGTATCGCCGATATCCCGCCAAATCATTATCTATCATTAATCTTATATCAAATCAGCACTCGCTGACATGGAGTAATATCTCAATTTTTAATTGTAATAATCATGAAATGTTAAAAAATTTTTTCAAAAAAGTCTGGATTTTTACCCAATTTTCAGAAAAAAATGCCGATCTCGTGTCGCGATCCGAGATTTGTTTTTCAGGTCTTGATTTCTCGTCCCGGGTTCGGTCTCAATCTCGAGTCTCGGTAGATTCTGATTACCGAGCATCATTAAAATATTAGAAGAATGCGCATCTGGTTCCCTGTTTGAGTTTACAGTTTATGCTAGGTTAGCCCTCTTTTTTAAAATTGGTTTAGAGAATCTTGAATCGACTCATAATTTTTCATTGGATTCGTAAACTTTTCATTGGTCTCATAACTAGACCATAGACAAAATAAGTTTATCAAAAGTTATTATAAAAATTAAACAACACTAAGATATTTTGCTTAAATTTTTAGGAATAAAATTTCCTAAAATTAAATTTTAGGATTTTTTAAAGCTGAACCCGTGTTGGTTTGGTCAACGTTTTTCCACTGATCATGTTCCGGTTACCTGATTAATTAATGGTTTTAGGTTTCAGTCGGTTAACCGTTTGTGCCCGATTATTTAACATACTATGAAAACAGACTAGAATCATTAACTTTTTTGCGAGACCGTTATCCTTACTTGTCTTTTTATTAATAAAAAATAATATATTTTAATTATTTAAATTTTATTATAAATATTCTATAGAGAAAAAAAAACTAGCTATTTCTTTAATTAAATTTTTAAATTAAAAAATGCCATTGGAAATTGCCAGGCATAAAGGAAGTTCCTCGTTAGTGGGAAAGGATATTGATTACACTCTTGGCAACGTGAATATCGATTCTACAATGTGATTTTAAAATTTTAAATTTAATTAAAATAATTTAAACAAATATAGCAACTTAATTTAAAACAAATCCCGTAGTAAGTTATTTAATTTTAGTTGATTTATTATGTCATTATCGTTTTATCACAGTTAATTTCGATTTAAAGGTTTTATCAAGCTTAGCAAAAACTTAAAATTAATTGGAAGTTTAGGTATTTTTGGATTTTAACAACCCCTAAAACATATTTGGAACTAATTGTAAGATACAAACTTGCTATAAAAATTATCTTATAATATAGGGTATCTTAAATAGAGGGTATCGCTTAGGCAGCACTTTCCTCCCTATCTTAGTGGCCAACTAAAATTTTAGAAAGTAGTGTCGTCTGTATTTATTATTAAAACAGATAAAAGTACAATAAATCCAGTTTAATTTACCTGCTTAATAATTGTAAACATGCCTGTTCTTAATTGAGAAACGGAAAAAATAATAAAAAATGTACATATAGGTAATATAAATAGGTAATGTTTGCGCAGCTAATAAAATTTTTTTAATCGGAAAGGCAAAAAAATATTGTCAATATTTTTACATGTGCTATTTTAATATCAATTGTATATTTTTAGCATATTGCATCATGTTTGTAAATGCACTTTTCTTTTCAATACAAAGTTTGTAAATTTTTTATCAAATTTACTTTTTTAATTCAATTACTTGGACGTTTTTGGAATTTAACCAAACTTTTAAAATGATGAATCTTTTATCGTAATTTATAAAAAATTTAATTTTAACCAACATCTACTCCACACATTAACTAAAATACATTCATATGTAATGTTGACACAGAAAATAAAAGTCCCAACATTTTGATATTTTCATCGTCAATTCTATCTGCTTTCTATTTTCGGAAAAAAACCCAGACAAATAAAACCAAATAAATGTTTTAAATCGGGAGAATCTCTAAAAAATTTGATAATCCATCCGGCGCTTAAATTCAAAAAATATAAAACTTCAACAAGTTATAATTGAACTATTTTAGAGCATGAGTTATTACTGGAATTGAAATAACTGAATTAATTTCCAGCCTTTTAATCGTTTAAAATTTCAATAATTTTAGTGAATTTTTTTATGTTATTGGTTTGCAGTGTGCTAATAATCTAAATTTTAATATTTAAAGATCAAGAAAATAATAAAATTTCCAAATTATTTTAAGATAACTGTTTGATTATATGTATGATAAATGTTAAGGCAATTTTTAATTTAATTATTTACAGATATGCAAAAGATAGTAGAAAAAACAGATTATTTAATTAGTATTTATTATTTTCACTGTGGAACAAGAAAATCAGTCACAAATTTAAAAAATAATAACGAAAGTAGCAAAAATAATAAATGACACCTTTCTCATATTGAATGATTTTTTAGTTTATTTAATTATTTATCATTATTCAATATTGATCATTTGCGATTTTTATAATAGGAAAATAAAAAAAGATTTGCGGGCTTACATATAACGGAAAAATATCAAAAATTGAAAATCTAATTTGATAACGCTCACCTTTTCGTTTGCAAAACTATTTTCTGTTTAATAATTTTTAGTACCTACATAAATTTCCTACCAAAACCCTTTTGAAATTTTACTAATACTCCTAAAATTTCAATGTTTTTCGATGTTTCTGATAAGGTAAATTTAATTTTTCATAGTAATAACTAGGGTTGTTGGCGACCTGTTGTTAACCGGTACCCCCAGTTTTCGGTTAATCTAAATTTTAGAAACCCGGTTTTCGGTTTTGAGTTTTAAGCAAATACCGGTTTTATTTTGGGGGAATTTTTAATAAAATCACTCATTCTCACAAATTTCCGGTTTTCGGTTTTTAAAATTTTCTAATAAAGGTTAATTTTTGGCAAAAAATTTCAAAAATACCGGTTTTAAAACCGGTCGCCAACAACCCTAGTAATAACCTTTCTTCTCAGGTTGATTTAATTAAATGTAAAATTGAATGGAAAATATTTGATTTGAATTTACGCAAGGAATTCTTGGGGTCTGAACAAGTTTTAATTAGTATATTTTTAAACAATTTTTTTTGTTTTAAAATTAAATGCAGGCAAGAATTTTTACAATCCAAAATGCCCTTCAATAGTTTGGCAATTACGCGTTTACCCAAAAAACATAAGTCCCGCAGGTTACGGAAGTCAAAATATTACTACTTATGTTTCGCTCACACAAATAGGATCAAGAGTCAAAATCTAGCTTGTATGCTAAATATAGTATTTATGCCCATAATAGTGAAGGGAAACGTGTAAATATTAGTTCGTAAGTCATACTATAGTTTTTAATTTGATTTGCTTTTTAGAAACTATTCAAAGAATTTCGAAAATAAAACCGAATCTGAGAAATTTCAAATTAACTTGCATATTATCAGTCATGCTGATGGTGAAATACTTAAATATTTCCAATATTATTAAATCTACAAAAATTTTTGTTTCGACTTTTACTGACGTTTTAACTAATTTTCATTTTTGTAGGTTCTGTGTTACTACATATATTGTGAAGTTGAATTTGTGCCTTACAACATTAAATGTGTGAATAATAAAAATCAAATTGCGAACAATCATATTGAAGAACGAAATTTGCTTAAAAATTTGTTCTTAAATAAAACGCTTTCAGATTTTGTCATTAAAGTATGAATTATTTGCATTTTAAAATAAAATTATTTTAGATTGGTGATGAGAAAATAAATGTCCATCGTTGTATTCTAGCTCAAAACAGCAGTGTATTTTTAACAATGTTTGAACAGAATATGATTAAAGCAAGAAATGTATTTTAATTAAAGTTGTCCGGAGTTCAGCCCCGCTGACCGGAGTTCATCTGACCTTACGCGTTAATTTTTTAATTAAATTAATTAATCAAGAGTTAAATCTCGTTTAAACTCGTTCCTTAGATATGATTATGCGGATATAATAAGAAACGATTGGCTTTTTATAAAATTTCTCTCGAAAACTACCTAAACCATTGTTTGAATGAAAGTCAAAAATTTCAGGCTGATTAATAAAAAGAGATCGCCTCTTTCCGATTACTATCCCTATTCAAAATATTACCTTAAAATTTTCAAATATTCAAGGGTGAACTCGAAATTGTTGATTCTTCCCCTGAATGTTTTAAAGCTATGATTGAATATTTTTATCATGGGAAAATTAATTCAAGTTCATTTTCTTTTTATTTAATCTTTATTAAAAATAAAATTAAGGTAATATACTGGAAAATAATGTTGATGATATATATGCACTTGCACACAAATATTGTGTAGATTCATTAATGAATAAATGTGAAATTATTATGGCTTCAAATATTGGTAAAATTAATAAAATGATATATGAAATACTCACATTTATTTACATGATGCCCCTTAAAGTATAAGTTCGTGATTTTTAACGTAAAAATCTTATGCTTAGCCGTTTAAAACTTTATAATTTTAGAAGTTAGTTATCAACATAGGTATTAAGCAGGGTTGCCGCCCGAAACCCGTACCCGATATTTTTGCCAACCGAATTAGAAGGAATTCAGAGTGGTATCGGGTGATTTGTAGGGATTAATAAGGATATACCTAAGTGGATTCAAAGGAAAAAAGAATATGGAGGATAAAGATTTTGAGAGATATCGTTGCTTATAAGGAATTGAGAGGGATATCGATAATTCGAGGTAAGTAAGGGGAGTAAGATTGGTCGGTGGAGAATTGTAATTATATGGACGAATGGTTGTTGAGAGTCAAAAAATGCTGAGATATTTTTGTTGAGATTTTTCTCCCCAAATTTTCTTATTCCCTCCAAATCACTTGATATCACAACAAACATAGTTTAACATTGTTAATCATCTAGACTCTTTTAATATCTCCAACACAACCTCTTAATCAATGAATCTCCCTTTCTTATATATCGATATCCCCTTAATCGCTCCTAACCAGCTCTCTTAATACCTCAAAATCAACCGATATCCCACTTAATCTCTGAAAATCCTCCTTAATCCCTCGAATTTGTTGAACATTTAAAATTATTCTAAAGCAAATATATTTCGTATTCGAATATTTGCTTTGAATTCAACTTAAATTCGGTTTTATCATTTTTCCTATCTCTAAATAAAACTTAAGCCTGAGGCAATTGAATTTGCTTTGTAAGCTACAAATTTTTCAAATTTCAAAAGTTACCCATCAAAAAATACAGTCTATTAGAGAATACGGCAGTTCATAAATTAAATAATTTTTATTTTATAAGACCAAAAAAACTTTGTCAAGCGTTGTAGTTACTCACAAATATATGGTCTTAAAAATATAACGAAGGTGATGGTTTATACATACATATACAGTAGTCGACATAAAGATAGGGACAAGAGTAATTTAAATGAAAATTAACTATTTCTCGGTCGAAAAATACGTTCTATATATCAATCGAAAGCTCTATTTATATCTCAGTTGACATGTTTCTGCATTTTTCATGAAATTGAAAATTGGCCGAGATAATCCGGATCTGCCGGATATACCAAATCCCACAGCCTCGGAAAAAATTTTCGGAAAAAATCTAACAAACCCATTTGATAAAGCATATTTTTCTGAGTATTTCCCACAAAACCGCTTAGAAATATCTTTTTCCGGCCCGGAGATATGATTTTTTGAAAATGGCAATTTCCGTCTATTTTTGCAAAAAATTCAATTTTTAAGGGAAAAATGCCATTTTCAAAAAATCATATCTCTGGTCCGGAAAGAGATATTTTTAAGCGGTTTTGTGATACATACTCACAAAAATATGCTTTATCAAATGGGTTTGTTAGATTTTTTCCGAAAATTTTTTCCGAGGCTGTGGGATTTGGTATATCCGGCAGATCCGGATTATCTCGGCCAATTTTCAATTTCATGAAAAATGCAGAAACATGTCAACTGAGATATAAATAGAGCTTTCGATTGATATATAGAACGTATTTTTTGACCAAAAAATAGTTAATTTTTATTTAAAATTAAATTTTAATTCAAAAATTTAAAAAGGCTTGTATTAAATTTATTGCAGCCAATCGCAAAAACTTTTTAGACAGCAATGAATGGAAGGAATTTAAAACTAAAAATAGGGATTTAGCTTTTTGTCTTAAGGAAATAGCATTGAAATTCGGTTATTTTCTAATTAAATACATACATATATTCCAGGGCTTCGATATCTGCGGATTTTTCCTCATTTTGTGGTTTTTGATCAGGGCTTCGATCCCGAATTTTTAAAAATCCGCAATTTTGATCGAAAAAATCCGCATTTAATATGAAAAATCCGCAAAAAATTATCAAACACAAAATTTGAAGTAAAATCAGGTTATGTTTTATATTTTTTGACTCCAACAATTGAATTATGCAATTTTTTATTACTAATGATAATCTTATAGAAATCTGAACAATTATCTGGACAATTACACTTGAATTTTTGTCGTCGAAGACGGCAAAAAATTTTATTTTTTCCTTTTTCAGCGCCGCAGGCGAAAATTTTTTTAATTTGAAAGATCTTTAAGCCAAAAATCTTACATTTTAAGCGCCGCAGGCAATGATTTTGAGAATTTTGCAAGACCAGAAGACAGATTACTTCCGTTTTCAGCGCCGCAGGCGAAAATTTTGAGGATTTTCTTCGCAGAAAATAAAGGCATTTTATCATAAAAACTACAGAAAAATATAAAAAATCCTCATAATCTTCAAAAGACTACAAAAATCCGCAAATCCGCATTTTTAAAAATAATCCTCATCGCCCTATCGAAAAACCACAAAATGAGGAAAAATCCGCAGAAATCGAAGCCTTGTTTTTGATAGGTCGATGAGGATTTTCAAAAATGTGGAATTTTTGTGGTCTTTTGAAGATTATGAGGATTTTTTATATTTTCTTGTAGTTTTTATTATAAAATATCATTATTTTTCTGCTAGGACCTAAACTCAAATTTTCAGCGCCTGCGGCGCTGAAAATAGAAGATTTTCGGCTTAAGGATATCTTACATAAATTCAAAAAAATTTCGTCTGCGGTGAAAAAAGAAGATATATGTATAATGCTGGATCAAAATTGCGGATTTTTAAAAATTCGTGATCGAAGCCCTGATATATTCTTTAGAAATATAAAGGTTTTTTATTTAAAAAATATTTTTAGAATTGTAATTTAAATTTTATGGTTTGTTGCTACTGAAGAACTATATTATTCAAGAAAATATTTTATAAAATTAAATATTTATTGTATCCAATATTCATATGAAGATTTAAAAAATTTTTTATAAAATGTATTTTTTTAACATCAAAAAATTTGTTAATAAAAATATTTTTTTAATCACTTTCCCTTTGGGATTATTTTGTTTTTGATCAAAATTATTTCCAAATAATTTATTTGAATATGAAATATCCAATAATTCCAACAGCCAAAGTACCTCCACCCAGACCAATTCCAACTATAGGAAAGTTTAGAGCACCTAAACATGCAGCAACTCCCAAAAGAGCTCCAACAAGACAACCTCCAGCAAATTCTCCCGAGAAAGAAAATCTTTTTTTGTTCGAAAAATTTTTTGAAAGTCGATTATTTCGTCTATTATCTTCCTCCAAAATTGTCACAATTTCATTTTGTTGTTCTTTAATTTCCTTTACTTCCTCAATTTCGTTTACTACTTGTCTATTTATATCAATAAGTTCATTAACTGTTGTAATTAGATTTTTAAGGATTTTTTCATCATCAGTATCTAAAAATTGAAATTAATTAATGTGATATTAAATTTGACTAGTCTATTGAATATAATAAAATATAGAACTCGCAAATTAGCCATAATATTTTAGAACAAAGTATAGGATTTTTGGTTTAAACCTAATACATATAGACACGAAAATTAAGCGGTAATGGAAAAATTTCGGTTCGGATACCATCTTTAGAAGTAAAATAATTTTTAGCTATTTATTATATACCTTCATTGAAATCCGGATTGCCATTCATATCTTGAGAACAGTAGAGATTTAAAAATGTTTTCTAAAAGCAATAAATTAATTTTAATGAAAAATTTAAGAAATATTATAGAATAATAAATAATATTTAGGGAGAACAAAAATTCCTCCTTTAATTTTTAAACAACAAATCGTGAAAAAATTTAATAAGTGTAAAAAGCATTAATATAATGAGAATTTCAAAGAATATTATCAACAATTTTATTTCGGATCGGAAATAGACACTGATAATCAAATAAGGTTTTTGCTGCTAAATTGGAGATAATGCTTAAATCATTTTGAATGTTGGGGGACTTATAAAATTGTTGAAAAACATACATAGTATTTCATTATTTTGAAATTTAAATTTAAAAAAATAGAGTATTTAATCAACACAAGAGCCAATAATTCCACCCGAAACTGCACCAGCAACAGCACCCACCCCTGCCCCAATAACCATACCAATAGGGCCTACAAACGCCCCAGCAATAGCACCAGCAGCCACACCGCCAAGCCCACCAAGTCCAACGCCTCCGATAATATTGCTATTACGCTTCTCTCGTTTGATGTTTTCTTTTACAAAAGAAATAAAATAATTATTATTTATGGTGTGTGAAGAATCATAATTTCTTTAAGATTTTCATATTAGAAATGCTTGAAATTTTTTCAGAGAATAACATATTGAGCATAAATCAAGCAGTAATAACAAAGTCACAAATGACCTTTTCATAGAAATCCAATATCTCAAAAATCAACGGAAAAGGAGAGTAAAGTACTGCAAAAAATATTTAATCCACCTTAGAGATCATAAAAAATTCTTTTATGCCTACTGAAAGCAAATTACATTTGCTACAAGATGCACTAATCTCATTTCTCATAAAAAATTTTTTCGATGTGTTAATTTAAAGTATTAATTAGGTTAAATCTAAAAGTTCGAATGTCAATATAGTATGTATGGGGCAATTCATGTATGTAGGTGAACTTAATTAATTCTTTAACATATAGTTCATCAATGTTAGAATTTTCTCAACATGTGACCAAAAGATTTTTGTGGCAAACTTTTTGGGGTTTCTGACGGGCTTGAAGGAATCTTTTCATATAGTTAAAATATTCTTCAAAACAATGTACCCGCATTTCCCGTTATTTTTGAGATTTTGGATCTCTACGAAAAGAACATTTATGGACTTTATTCTTTACTTTCTACTCAATATTAATGAAAATGTTCAACAAAATTTTTGGAAACATTTCAAGCATCTCTAATATGAAAATCAAAATTCTTTCAAGTAGTGTTCGGCACGGTTCGCTACTCCCGCGGTACTCCCGAAAATACCGAATCGGGAATTTCCGGTACTCCCGATACCGGAACCGTCCCGAACAGATTTTGGGAAATTTCGGTACTTTTCGGTATCGGGAATTTTCGGTATTCCGGTACCGGAACCGAAAAAATCCATTTGCCGAACACTACTTTCAAGTAGAGTTATGATCTCTTTTAACACCCTTTTTGAGAAAAACACAATAAATAATCAAGTTTAATATTCTTAAAGACTTAGTGTTAGTGGATTCAATGTGTAATATTACTATGAACTTGTATAAAAATTTCAGATTAATTAAACTAAACAAGCCTTAATTTTTTCTCCTGAACAGACTATTTTGTCATTATTACAACACATCATCACAAATTGATAAGCCAAAATTAAATATATTTTTACCTTCCTTGTATTTTTTGTTTTCATTCATAAGATCATTAAGTTTTCGTTTAAGCTCAATATTCTCCTCCTTTAATTTTGCTACTTGTTTTGTAAGATTAATTGTAGTTTGATTAAGTTCGGCAATTCGTTTAATTAAAATTCGAAGTAAAATTTTTTGCTGTTTATTAGACTAAATGTTTAAACAATTAAATTTAATTTTTAATTTCTTGAAAATTTAAATTATTTTATTTTATCACAAAAGACTATAAGAGACCTTAGAATTCTATCTATTATTCAATTATTTAAATTGTTTTTTGACAATAATCAAAAATAGAAAGGTATTTGTATAAAACACTTAATTGAAATTTCAATTTACATACTGAATATTTTAATAAAATAATTAAGCTTAATACTTAAATAGTAAAAAATATACATCGATATTTATTTTACCTGTTTTCTTTTTTTGCTTTTTTGTTTTTTAGTTTTTTTGTTTTTATTTTGTTGTTTTTTATCATTGTAATCACTGTCAGACTCATCACTGTTGCTTCCCAAATTAACCATTTTTAAAAATATTTAAATTTAGAATCTTGTTTGAACTAAGAAATATAAATTTTTAATAAAATCAAAACAATAATTAAAAACAACGAGTATTCTAAGTAGAGAGGGATTCTAACATTCAATGCTTCATAAAAAATTAAAACTTAAATTTCTCGATCAAGACTTTAAACTATTCAAAGTTACATAAATTTTGAGATAAAACTTATTAAGATATTGGACAAAGTAAATTAATCAAAGGCGTGTTTATTTAATCTGATTTATTAAAAAATAAGAAAATATATCCAAAAACCACATGTCCAAACCCGCTACAACTAGGGGTATTAATATAATTAATTACCCCTTCGAGACCGCCCTAATTAAAATGAGCATTATTTAGAAGTAAGAAATGCGGTAGTAATTAAAAAATAAAATAGTGCAAATAAAAAAATTAATTTATTTAAAGAACAAGCACATTACTTAAACAAAAGAATTTAAATTAAAAAATCTGATTTCAAATAATCAAAAATAATTGAAAAATTAATACAAATTCGAAATTTTATTAAATGAATTTAATAATTTTCTAACGTAGTACAAAAAATTTAATAAAATAAAAGAAAAGTTTGAATAAGGGGTGGAGTTTATGAATAATTTATTTTGAACAAAAACAAAAATGAAAAAAATCTGTCTAATAAAAAATAAATTGTATGGCTTCTCTTTGTTGTAATAATTTCCATTAAAATTTAAAATAAATATTTATGTACATTTTTTTGTGGATGTAAACATTTACAAAATTTATTAAACAAAAAAGGAACTTTTTTCTTTTAATTTTTTGGTATTTTCGAATAAACTTGCCACACCTATTAAATTGTAGGTTTTTTTACTTAAAATTTTATTCCAAATAAATAACATTTAATAAAATGCAAGTATCATTCTTCATTATTTTTAACGAAAAATTATTTTTACATTTTTATAAACATAAATATTAATTTTATTTAATGCTAATTCAGTTTTATAAGTTCATTTTTATTTATTATCATAGTTTTATGTACATATATCAGGCCTTGACTGATTTTTCATAATTTTTTACAATTTCCTGATAAAACACGATTTTTAGAAATTCTGCCGAATGATCCATTTTACTAGGTAATAATTCTAAAAAAAATTATCTCCATTCTTTAAAGTGATTCGTCTAATAAAAATTAAAGCTTACATGAAAACTTTGTTTTCTATCATTGTTCTCATTTTTGTATTTTGCCGTTCCCTTTTTCTGTATTTTTAATTTTTATTTAAAATCTTAAATTTAGTATAAAAAATTTTTCATTTGTTAATTAGTCTGATCTACAAACTTTCTGAAACAAAAAATGTCTACCAAAAGTAAAGAGGTAGTTTGACGGAATTATTAATAAATACATTTATTTAAAGATTATAAAAATGATTAAATCTTCAAAAGTTTGGAATGTTAAAAATATTAATACTATTGCAGAACCTTTGGGAAATGATTATTATGTTTCGTGTAAGTTTCCTGAAGTTATGTTACTTGACATAATTCTGCGTTTTGGGGTTTTATCAAAGTTTTTATTTTTCAATCCACTATAAGGTTTTATTTCATAACTGCCTATTTGCAAATTATTTATTGAAAGGAATATTGATACAAACTTGAGGAATTTAAGTGCAAAAATAATTTTTAAAAATTATTCAGCCCTGGCTGTAACTAACTTTTCCTTGCATAAATATGATCAATTGAGTTTATAAAATTAATTAAGGTGCTCCTTTCAAAAACAACTCTTATTCTACAGTCTCATGGGAGATTTGTATTTATTTGAATGGATATCAAGGAGGATATTATGGAAGTATGTTTATCATGTTTATTATAAATAAACTAGAATTGTTTCAGCCCGAATTATTATAAATATTCTAATATAACCAAAATTTATAATTATTTTTAGGCGTTAATGTTTCGCTCCGTCAAATTGGACTTAAAGGCAATGATTGTGTCAAGGCAAAATATTATTTATATGCAATTCAAAATAATGGTATTCGCATGGATATTGGACGGTAGATTATTCTATCCTGTGAATTTTACTTCTTATTTAGCGCTTCATACAAATTTAAATATTGGACCCAAACTAGCAATTATAATGTTAATATGCAGAGTTTGCTCCAAAATGACGGTAATCTAAGCAGAAATTAAACAATTTAACTAAAAATTTAAAATATAGGTTCTATTACGATTGGATGTGAAGTTGAATTTTCGTTGAAAGACCTTAACCTTGAATATATTAAAAAGGATGAATCTGCACTTTATTCTAAAGCTTTACTTCAAAATTTGTGGCAAAGCAAGGAATTTATGGATTGTGTTTTTGAGGTAATTTTTAGAATTATGTAGTGGATATTATTTGGTATCTTGACTTTTATGTTGCTGGTGGGGGGCTTAAAATAGTAGTTTTAGTTAATTTGATATTTTCAAAAATATTAAATTTCATCAAATGCATGCATTTTATTTCGGTCATATTTTATGTAGTATCATATATTTTTGAATTTTTTTACAACAATAAATTCATTGTTTAATTTTATATTTTTCACAGTTTGGTGATGTCTCGATTAATGCACATCGAAGCGTATTAGCTCAAAATAGTGAAGTTTTTCGACGAATGTTGTACACGTCTGGATTCAGTGAAGCACAAAATGTACGCAAAACGCGTAAAAGATCTTATCAGGCTATTAATAATGTAAATTCTCTGAAAATTTAAGATAATATTTTTATAAGTATATTTTTAATAGACAACTTTTGATACTTATAAGGAATTAAAATTAAATTTAACAAAAAAAACACATCCCACCTATCTAATTTTAAATTTTTAAAAATCACTTAAAACCTTTATATTTATATAGGGGATAGTCAAAATTACGGATTGTTCGTCGGAGTGTTTCCAAGCAATGTTGGAATATTGTTATACTGGAATTGTCTCTGATGGTCTGTTTTATTTTCAATCAAATTATTTTCTTGATTTTGAAAATTAGTTAACTTTGTTCACCTTAATTTTTTTAATTTTTAAGAGATTTTGGATAGTCTCGCGGAGGAGCTCTTTGCTGTTGCTCATAAATATGAAATTTCTCCACTTAAAGAAAAATGTGAAAATCATATTGCTTCTTATATTGGTAAACTAGAAATTTTTATTTAATTTCAAAATTTTAAAGGAGTTTGTGATATTTCACGAATTTGTCAAATTATCCAACTTTATGGTTCTTCAATTTTGGAGAAGGTTGTTTGGGTTCGGAAATTTTTGCTATTTATTTTTTCAGGCCGTTGCGAAATGTATCTCTCAAAATAGAGATATTTTAACTACAGCTGAGTGGAACGATTTGAAACGATCTCATGGGGAATTGACCCATCGTTTGTTGGAATCTGTCATTTGTGGACATGCTAAATGGTTAGTTTTACTGAGTTAAATTTTGATTTAAAGTGGGGACATTTTGTATTGCTTTTGTCTTTCTAAAATTATTATTTTGCATATTCGGAATCATATTTATAAAACTATTTTGAATGGAATGATAGATCAAAACCTTTTTCCATTAGAAATTTTTTCAATAAAGTTAGTAAATATATTTTAATTATGATGGCCTTTAATATAAATATTGTTCGAAGGAGAAATAATAAATTTCAAATATCATGAATTTTAGATGTTGTGCATCAGAATCGAAGGTTTATTTGTTACAATAACAATTTTATTATAACACAATTTTTTGTGAAATTGGTGCGGATGTTTTATTCGTAGTGCGACACTTGCGGACCGACTTTTGCGGACCGACATTTGCGGACGGACATTTGCGGATTGCGGATAGACATTTACGGACCGACTTTTGCGGACGGACATTTGCGGATTGCGGACCGACTTTTGCGGATCGGACATTTGCGGACCGTTTTTGGGGAAAAAAATTTAAAAAAATTAAATTTTCAAAAACGAAAAAAATATTTGAGTTTATTTTAATATCCTTTCGATCTAACAAGTTAGACAAAGTTATGATCGTTTATTTTAGCTCCTTACCTGCTGCATCCGTGGAGTTTTTACTGCTGCGGTGGAAGCCGGGCATGACCATGTCATCGATGATAGGAATAGGATTAAGTTACGAGCCCAGAACCCAGCGACAGTTGACTCCCCGCGAGGCGCGTGCCGCAAAACCCCGCGCGAAGCGCGGGGTTTTGCACAAGCGCCTCGCCTAATCTCCATAGGTTTACGTTGACCATTTTGATAAAGAAGTTGCCCATCGAAAAGATATTAAAATAAACTTAAATATTTATTTTTCGTTTTTGAAAATTAAATTTAATTTTTTAGATTTTTTTTCCCAAAAACGGTCCGCAAATGTCCGATCCGCAAAAGTCGGTCCGCAATCCGCAAATGTCGTCCGCAAATGTCCGATCCGCAAATGTCCGTCCGCAAAGGTCGGTCCGCAAAAGTCGGTCCGCAAGTGTCGTACAATCGTTTTATTTCATTTTTAATTCTGTGAATTTTTTACAATTTTGATTTATTTATTCTTTCATGTTATTAAAATTTCTGATAAATTTTTATCAAAATTAGTGAATTTTATTTTAAATTTTTGTTTTATTATTAATGATTAACCGCAAATTCTAATGAAAAGAAAATTTATGTTAATCAACGAGGAGTTATTTAACGAAAAATGTGAAAATCTTAAATTATGAAATTACTAGGGCTACTGCAGTCAAAACAAGTATAGCCTGTAAAATCAAATAAAGTATTGAGTCATATTTAAAGATCTAGAGGTTTTAAAGCTAAGTTGATAAAGGTGACTTTGTGTATTAAAAAAACCTCTTTTTTCATTTACTAAAGTTTTCTTGATTTTAAATTTTTTTGCGGCTAAATAAACTTTGATTTATTTTGTTCTTTAATGCATAAAATAATTCAAAAGTAAATGGTTATTAAGTATTTAATAATTTAATACTTCTAAAAATTCATATAAAAAATTTTATTTCGCGGCTTTTAATTTTATATCAAAACTTTTTAAAAATGTAATTTGAAATAAAAAAAATTTTGAGGTAAAATACACCCTAATATAAAAAATTAACTCAAATAAAAAACTAAATTTTAATTCCCTTCCTTTAAATGTCAATTTATCTTCTTCCACTTCATCAATTCTTCTTTTGTTAAATATATTGTATTCAAAAAATATGTTTCTTGATCAACCTTCTTTTTTTTAACATCGATAGTGTTGTTAAATGAATTCAAAATATTTTCACTAAATTTCTCTAATATTGTTTCTAATTCCCCGTTCTCAACATTTCCTTTAATTCCAACTATCCAAACAGTACAAAGCCGCCCTTCTTCTAAATTTAAATCTTTTCTTATATTTGTTGGACAATTTTGTGTATTTAAATATTTTGTTGGAGATACATGACAATATTCTATATTCGAATTAGGCTCGTCAATTTCAGAAAAAAGTCCAATCCGAATACGAGTTCCAGTATAATCACAAAATAGAGGGCCATAAATACTTGTTGCTGTATGTGAACTTATAATGGCCAAATAATTGTTATACTTAATTTATAATTTATTATTTTATCAAAAATATTTAATTAAAGTCTAAGTAGCAGAGGTCGATCGTAATTCCGATTTCCTCTGCTAAGTAGTTTCCCCTATTTTTTCTTTAGCTAGTCTTAGAGATAGTAATTTTGTTCCGTACCGTAATACCGTATAATAGCGATAAATATCGATCAACATACATATTCCGTATCGTACTACCGATACGGAATACCGATAAATACCGAAAAATATGGCCGTAGTACGGTACGGTCCGATCTCTACTATATGTAGTTAGTGTACATTTCAATTCAAAATATAATAATTTTTAGTAAAGTTTTACCTTTTCGTAAAACTTTCCACCATTAAACCAATTTTTCCATATTTTTTCAGAAAATATTTTAAATTTTTCTTTATCATCTTTATACTTAATTAATTCCTTAAATTCTTCTTGTAATTTACTAAATTTAACAATTCCTTTAATTTATAAAATTTTAATTAATTTTTATTTCTTTAAATTACCATTTTTTATTTCTTCATTAATTATTTTTTCTGTACTTTTGTTAACATTAAATCCAACATTCTGTACAGGAAATCCAGGTGATATAATTTTCCAAATAGGTTTCTCATTAGATTTTTCCTTAATTTTAATTGATTCTGTTTCTTCTTCTTCCAAACTAATTATTTTTTCTTTATCTAACGGTAATTCTATCCATTTAATTAAATATTCAAATATATATTTAATTAAAAAAATTGTAGAAAATGTTGGATTTTCTATAATAATTTTACAAATAATAACTGTAAGAGAAGAACTAGATAAAAATCCAAATTGTCCTCCATAAATGAAATTTTCTAAAAATTTTAAATATTTTATTTGAATATAAAAATGCGTTTTACCTTTTGCCCATAACTTTAAAGTTATGTGTATTAATCTGAATTTGTATAAATTCCATTTTTCTTTTAATAATTCTATTACACGCAAATTGGCTCTGAGACCTGGAAATTATCAATTTTTTATTTAAAAATTAGATTAAAATTTGGTAAAGGAAATCCAGTTAATGCTAAATGCAGAATTAAGAACTATTAAAAAAGAAAAAGCTGTCGGCAGACATCTGATTGTGGGGAGAAAAGTAAATTTTAAGTTACGAGATTAATGTCTGATCAGTAGCTAAACTTCTACTTTCATTTGAAGGTAGAAGTTTTCACAACTTAAAATTACTTTTAATGTTACGAAATTAATCCCGGAATTTTATTTCTAAATACACTCTGTCCCAAAATTATGAGTTCACCCTTAAATTTCATCATAATATGGGTTTCAGACCACAAAATCAAAATATCTTTTAATATATGTTTATTCAGCGTATTCTGAAGTATATTGCAAATTTTCAGGCAATTTGCAATATTAATGCGAAAATTACGCCAAAATTTCTTTAAAACCACTGTCCCAAAACAATATACTTCAGAATACGCTAATATTTTGATTTTGTGGTCTGAAACCCATATTATGATGAAATTTAGGGGTGAACTCATAATTTTGGGACAGAGTGTAGTATTTTATCGTTATATTACCAGAAAGAGCCAAAATCATTCCTCTACGTTTCGGAGATAATCTATCAATATCTCTAATATTTTGGCTTAATTCTTTTATAGCCTCATCCACTTGTGTCACAGTTAACGAATTTTCCTCTTTAAAATATTTATTTATTATATTTGCTTTAGGTGTCACAAAAAGTAGATCAAACTCAAAACCTCCAAATTTCAATCCAATAATTGGAACTCGCCCAAAAATTCTTTTAATATTTTCAACAGATGGATGCTTTTAATTAATATTATTACAATTACATTTCTATTGTGAATTTTTAAAATTCTGCTGCCTATTAGAGAAATTCCTATTAGAGAAAAACTGTTTAATGTCTCTCCTTCAAATAATTACCCCCTCCAGCGAGAGATCGAAATAATAATTACCCGGGGCAGTTAATATATATAATAACCGGGGCTCTTAAGGATATTAATAGCTACACAGGTACTTTTCCGTTATGCCACCTCCCCCAAAATGAACCGAGTTACGATACAAAAAATTGTGTGGTTCTTCAATTTTTAGGTACCTGTATCTCGGTCAAATCAAATCAGATTTCGGAGATTTTGGTGTCATTCGACTCAGCTCGATGAGCTCTTTTGAATCTGCTTTTATTAGCGTATTCGAATTTTTTACCCCAAAATTACCCTATGGTTTTTGACCATTTCGAGCCCTCATCTCAATCCACAAACATCTCCGGGGAAAAAGAGTGGTACCGTTCGACTCAGCACTTTTTATTACCCCATATATGACATTTTGAGCATTAATTTAGGGGGAGGTGGCATAACGGAAAAGTACCGCTACACATATGTATACTACACCCAATCTACTACAAACCAATCTGCAGCAAACTTAGAAGCTGAAGATGCTCAGTTGTTTGCGATAGAATGCGTGAAACATCTAATACATATTTTAATTTACCTCGCATAATTTACAAAATAAAGAATTATCTCCATTTTCCATTCCCTGTACTAATACCACATTTTCTTTTAAATTGTTAACACATTTTTTCTCAATACAATCAAAATCCCCAAAAAAGTCTAAAACAAATTGTGACTCCCAATAAAATTTAAATGGAACTAATATAATTCCATCAATGTCAGAATTAGCTGTAGCAGTTCGAAGACGATGTGAACCGGACATTACAAATGTTGCAATATTTTTTGTTTGTTCATTATTTTGATGAGAATTTGGTATCTTTAAAAATAGTTTTTTGAATAATTATTAATTAAAATATAATTAAACAAAAAAATATTTAAAATTTACCCAATTGTAAATAAATGAACCAAAATCATTTAAAGCCTTTTTATGGGCATCCCATTTAAGATGCTTTTCCTCTCTTTCTTTAATCTCTTTTTGAAGCTAAATAAAAATAATAATTAATTTATAGTTAATATCAATGAAAGGTGATAGTGTTAGGTATAGTGGGTAAATGTCCAGCTCGTATCCCGCATGTCCGCAAAAGGATAATATTTAATTAATTATTACCAAATTAATAAAATTAAATAAAATTTCAATTTTGAAATCACAATTTAAAATAATTATTTTTGTGAAAATATAAAATATCAGAATTTATATCATAATTAAAGATTACCAATTTTTTGTTCATTTCCTCCAGAATATTTTTTTCCAAAAATTCATTCAACTTTTTTTCTAATAATTCACAATCAATTTCATTAATTTCCAATATTTTTTCCTTTTCATCTTCCCAAATTAATTTTCTTCCGTTAAACCATCTTATTTCCTCATTATTTTCAAGTATAATTAAATTTTCTGCCAAATTTAAATTTTTTTCAATTTCTCCTAATTTTATTTCAATATTATCCAAATTTTGACATTCTATTATTTTCCCTTTTAATTTAATTAAAAATACTTCAAATGGAGATTTTTTGACTTTCTCTTTTAATATTATTTCATTAATTTTATCGTCTTTACTATCTTCTATATTTTCCATAAAATCTTTAAAAAAATTATTTTTAAGTATTTATAAAAGTATTTTTTTATTTTTTATTAAAGGAAAAGAAAAGGATTTTCAGTTAAGATTATAATCCAAACTGAAAATTAGGATTTTTGGTGCGTTTTTATCAAGCTTCCTATCAATTAGTTATGTTCGGTTATCCCGATTCAGGCTCCCGTTTTGGCAAATTTTCCCGATTTTTGGCCCCGAAGGCGCAAAAAATTTTTTTATTAAAAATTCCCGACTTCCAATCCCGACTCCCGATGTCATTCCCACATCACTCTATCAATATAATAATAATTATTATTTAAAAACTACCTAAAGTATATTTTCCTTTATTTATTTCTTTTTTCAATCGCTTTTCACGTTTTAATTGTTTTTTACTTTTACGTTGTTTTATCTCATCACTTCCATGTTCACTCCTTCCTTTTAACTCTTTGTTTTCATAATTACTATCTTCAAAAATTTCAGATAATGTTTCTTCGCTTTTTACTTGATTCTTTTCTATTATTCTTCTTTCATTTGGATCTATATAATCATTTATTTCTATTTCTATAATTTCTTCCATTTTTTCTTTTTTTAAACCAAAATCTTCATAATTAATCGCAAGTTCAAATTTCGTAAAAATTTCTTTAATTCCATTATATCCAACAATTTTTAAAAAATATAATTTTGCCAAATTATTATTTTGAAATACTTTAATGTAAAAAATTTTTGTTAATAATATATAATGAGATTGTTGACGACGGTGCTCTGTAGTCTCGTCAGAGGTTAGTTTCGTCAGAAGACATTTTCGTCAGAATTAGTTTCGTCAGAGGTCCCTCTCGTCAGAGTACACTTTCGTCAGAGGGTTGTTTCGTCAGAGAAGAGTTTCGTCAGAGGTCCTTTTCGTCAGTAAGGCTCCCTTTTTTAAAAACTTATACTAAATTATTTGTTTCTGGATCGATTTTGACAAATGAGGCGTCATTCGAAAGAGCTCTAAAAACTGAGTCGAAACAGTTGTGGAAAAAGTTGATCCGAGTTGATTCAAAGACCGAGTTACAGACTCCTGAATCGTGAAAAACCATAGGGAGGCTCAGCTCGTCGAGCTGGAGTCAGCTCGACGTTCTTATCTGAATGAGTTTTCATTTGTTAAATTAAATTTTTCAGCTCAAAAATCAGATTTTCAGAGTCCTTTCGAATGATAACTCATTCGCCCAAATCGATCCAGAAACATAATTTAGTATAAGTCATAATACCACAGATTAATTAGATTTTTAAAAAGGGAGCCTTACTGACGAAAAGGACCTCTGACAAAACTCGTCACTGACGAAACAACCCTCTGACGAAAGTGTACTCTGACGAGAGGGACCTCTGACGAAACTAATTCTGACGAAAATGTTCTCTGACAAAACTAACCTCTGACGAGACTACCGGACACGTTGACGACCGGTTATTAACGGTACCCCTTGGTTTCGATTAATACATATTTAAAAATCCGGTTTTTGATATTCAGTTTAGATTAAATAAATACCCATTTCTGGGCATTTCTGGGTATTACCCATCACTAATTCCCAAAAATTTTGAATTTTTTATAATTTTATGAAAGAATTATCAAAATTTTTGGCTTTAAAACCGGTCTTGAACAACCCCTAAAATAATTTTCCATAAAATTACAATGTTTAATCTCTTCCTTTTCTTCATCATTAAATATTTGTTCAAAATATTCTAAACATTTTCCATTACTCCAATTAATATATTGTTCATATTTTTCTGATTTTTTTTCGATTTTTTGTATTTTACCAGATTCCAGGTCCTCCCATTCTTTTTTCATTTTATCTGATGTCGTATCTACAACAATATTTAGATCAAGTTGATCCAAAGCAAATTCTGTTAACTCAATCTGAATTTTTAAATTATTATGAAGATTTTATAATTTAAAATAAGTTTTTTAGGATTTATAAAATCTTTATATTATTCAGATTAACCTTAACCTTGAAGCTAATCTTTTATTTACATGTGTGTAAAATAAAAGTAATCAAATATTGTCAGATTATTATGGAATTTGTTGATTAAATACAAATTTCCCAATATTCAAGAAATTTGCTTGTCGTTTTTAATTACGAATTTTTAAGTTCCGAAAGCGGGATTGATCAAAATAACGCTTCGTTTCACTCTTTTATTGAAAGAAGCGTAATAAAAGAGCTTCGTCTCACTCTTTTATTTTACCATTTGATTCATTCGGAACGAAATAAAAAAAATTTTCGATCAGCCATGCTCTAAATAAACAACTGTACCACTTTTTACCACAAAATCAAATAATTTTTTCCATTAACAAATTTTTGTGGCTAATGATTTCTAACTCATATAATATTTCCTATACTCCCTATAATAACCAAATAATAAATTTAAAAAATTAGCCTGAATTAATGTCACTTCATCTTCACTAATTGTCAGATCTGAATAATCTAACACAAAATTCTCGTCAATTTTACGTATAAAAAATGACTGTCGTTTTTTCCAAATTTTATTTAAAATAATTCGAGACAATCCAGAATCACTCGTTTCTTCTGATATTAATAATTTATTCATCCAACGAGCCCATAAAATTGTTTTTAAAGCTATTATATTTGCTAAAACATATTTTAAGCCAAATTCTGTTTTTAAGGCATTTATAAAATACTTTTTAACAAATTCATTGTCAAAAATTACTTAAAATAAATTTTATAAAAATATTTTAATTTTAAAAATAAATTTACATTTTTCCAATTGTAGAAACTCTAATTTATCTTTTTGAATAAATTGTAGCATTTTAGTTAAAGTTCCAGGATTATTTATAATTTTCCCCCTAAATTTCTCGACATTATTTTCTATAAATTGTGTGTGTTTAACACTCAATATATCCCTCTGTTGAATAAAAGCTTCTTCAATATTCCTCTCTTTTGTACATTCCTTACCATCCCAATTATTCAATGCTTCCTTTGCTGTTTTTAAATTAGCTTTTTCTATACTGTAATAAAACAAATTTAAATTTAAGATTATATGTTGGAAAAATTAATAAGAAAATTTTTAAATAAAATATCATTCAACGATAATTTTTCTAAGAATGAAAAAGTGAATTGAAGATGTTCAAGTAATCAAGGATTTTGTCTTAGTAATAATTCACTTGTCCAGTATATAATTACTAGACAAGTGATGCCCCGCCCCATGACCCGTATATATTAATAGTTTTCATAAATTTCTTAGTTTATTTAAGATTTAAAAGATACCTCGTGGCTGTTCTATTATTGAATTTCAACACATTATTAATGACTTTAATAAAACTGATAATTAAGCAAACTCCATATGATGTATAAACTTTTCTTGAGTCAGAGAGTTTATTATCAAAATTTTTTTTCTTATCAACAAACTAAAAGAATCAAAAATTTATTTCTATTTGAAATAAAAATATTTATAAAAATCTCTCACTTTTACAACGTTATCAACTTTTGGTGCGATTCTGAAAATCTTTTCATCAAGCTCCCAGAAAAGTAATGGTACCACCAAACGCAACTCAGCTTCCTTAGATTTTTTTGATTCAATTTCAAATGTAATTAATTTTTCATAAAGAAAATATTTTATTTCATCTAACACAATCACTTTAATATAAAATTAGTTAAATTAATTATTTATAGGTATTTATGCCAAAGAAAGATAACAACGATGTAGTGGTTAACACAGAATTTCAATGAAGTTCCCCAATACTGTTTAAATTCAGCCAATAGATTTATCTATATAAGCTATTCACAAAACTCGTGTCTAAACAAAATATGTATATGTGTAAACAAAATTCACTAAAATTCTGGGTCTATGTATCTAGACATAACGGCCGGATATCAAAAAATCTATTATGATTTTTGATAATTAATTACATAATTAATTATAATTAATTATTAATTACTCACTTATTCGAAAAAATGTAGGAAATCTCTCTTCCATTTTAAGAAAGTTTTCGGGACCTACAAATCCAAACAATCTTCTTTTTTGAAAGTACTGTTTTTCGTTATCAGCGCTATATATAAGATTTCGGATGCCAGCCAAATTTGAAAGAATCCAATTTAAATAATTATATGAAATATCTTCACTTACCTAAAAGTTTATATTTTAGGTAATTAAAAATTCTATAAATATTAAAAATTACGTCAAGTAATTCAAATCTATCAATTATTTCCTCTACACGTTTATTTATTACTTCAGGTTTACAATCATCAAAATCAGTATCATTAATAAATATTCCAACTGTAGGCATTTTATCCTGCAAGGTTTAATATAAGTAACTAGAGTGGGACAAAACCGTTTAGCTAAACGGTAAACGGTAAACGGGTTTTTAAAAATAAACGAAACGGTATACGGGTCTCAGATAAACGGCATAAACGGTATACGGTTTTTTCAAAATTAAACGGTTTTGTCCCACCCTATAAGTAACGGAGATCAGAAAAATTTTTTTTCTAAATAATTTACCAAAGATTTTATAATAATTTCTTTCCACCAAGATTCTTTACATAATTTTTCATTCCAAACCAATCTTTTATAAAAAAATTCTTGAAGAGTTCTTAATTCAAATTGTTTTTTAACAATTATATTAATATTCACCCATTCGGTGTATAATGAAATTACTTCAGGATTTTTATGATAATTTGGGGGTATTTCCTAAAAATTAATAAATAATAAATAAAGTATTACTTGAATAATTATCGTATGAAATTTTTACTAAAAATATACTGATTTATTTATCAGTATTTTTATTTTAATAAATAAGGTTTATTCTGACAAAAAGTCTTTTCTCGAATTTAGGAAATTGAGGGAATCTTTTGGTGTTACGACAATTGCGGATATAAAATTTTTTTTAATTTTAAAAATGATTTAAAGGATATTCCGTTTTTTCGTCCCGGCTTTCAGCTTCAGACTTCTGACGGTTTCAGAATCATTTTTAGAAAGATGTGGCACTGAAAACTTTAAAAAATCTTAAACTTTTTAAAAATTTTATAACCGCAATCGTCGCATCCGCACATGCGTATCCGCGATTGTCGTACCGCCTACAACACAAAATTTGTAAAAGAATTATATAAATTTACAGATATAAATTTATATTTTAATACTTTAAAAATAATTGAAACTCCATTTTGAATATACCAACTAATTGAATCGTTTTGTACGGGCTTAAATAATTCCATATTAACTTTATCTTCATCTTCATTTAACAAAATTTTCAAATTTTCTTCGTAAATAATCATTGTATCAGCTTAACTTTTAAAATAAAAATTAAATTTAAAATATTGTTTATACCTTTAATTTCATAATGAATAAAGTTTTTCTCCTGAAATTTTTAAAATAATTTTCGTTTAATTAATTAATTTTCGAAAAATAAATTTCAAAATAAAAGACCCAGCTTTTCAGTCTAGTGGATATAATTTAGAGTTAGATTTTTTTATTGAAAAAATAATAAGTTATATGTAGAATAATAAGTTATAATATATGTTTAATTAGTTAAAAATAATTTTATTATACCTTTATTTCATTTGCATTCACTAAAAGCTTGTTTAGTTTTTCAGAATTTAAACCTTAAAAAATAAAAATTAAATTTAAAGTCGGTGTTCGTTATTAATAATATACCACAACTTAAGTTTAGAATACGTTTTTATAAAAT